CCCCTTTAGGACCCAGGGGGTGCCGGATTATCAGATATGCTGTACTGTCGGAAGGGGGGGGCTATGAGGGGTCTGGGGTGGCATCCACCCCACCCCAGACCCCTTCATAGCCCCCCTTCCGATAGTCCGGAATATTTGATAATCCGGCACCCCCTGGGTCCTAAAGGTGCCGGATTATCGGAAGTTTACTGTATTTGGAAGTTTCTTAGATTGTAACATGACTCTTAGCTCTGGTCTACACTAGGGCCTTAGACCCAAATAATGCCCCCACCTTTGAATTAGTAAAAAGTGGTGCGTCCACACATCATAGCCCCCCTTCCGATAGTCCGGAATATTTGATAATCCGGCACCCCCTGGGTCCTAAAGGTGCCGGATTATCGGAAGTTTACTGTATTTGGAAGTTTCTTAGATTGTAACATGACTCTTAGCTCTGGTCTACACTAGGGCCTTAGACCCAAATAATGCCCCCACCTTTGAATTAGTAAAAAGTGGTGCGTCCACACAACCAAGTCCATTATTCTGGAATAACAGACAGTGGAATTCGAACTCTGTACTCCAGCTTGTTATCAGGAATAATGCGCATTCCAAACTTGTGAATCCGAAATAACGTTAGTGTGGACACTCTGGTGTTGCTATTTCAAGCTAATTGGCCTCCAGGAGGCCTCCTGCAGCTCCCCAGAGTGCTTCCTGGGGCTCTCAGTCTGAGGTAACACATCCACATTACTGGAGCCTGCCTCAGATTCATTTTGATTCTTCTCTGTAGTCAGGGCTCGCCAAGCAGCAGCAAGCCCCGCTCGCCAGCCATGCAGTTCTGCGCTCTGTGCATGCACAGATCGTTCAGTGCCAGCTCTTCCAGGTCGTAATCTACTAACCACAGGCAAGTAGATTACATTATTTGTCGAGCCCTGCCCATAGTGAGAACACACAGGTTTGAATTTGTTAAATCGGGAGTTCTTAAGTCGAATTTAGTAATTTTGAAATAATTTCCTTGTATAGACCTGGCCTCCGTTTCTGAGGCTGTAACGTGGCTCCAGGAGCCAGGACCTTGTGAAACAAACTCCAAGAATCATGGGGCACACAGCAAACTCATGAGTTGGCAGAACCATGTTAAGATTGATCTCAATCTCAGTCTTGCATTTGTAGTAAGATGAGGGTCTGAAACATAAGCCCACGTATCACAGACCAGGTATGAGGCCTGAGGCCTAGACAGCAATGGTCAAGACTTTGCTAACATTAAGTAGAGTGAAGCTGTGAGCGAGAGGCAGGCCTTGCTCACAGAAATTGGCAAGATCAGGGCTGATATTACAGAAACATTCAGACCTAAGAGATACCAGGCACAGGCTGTGAGCCCATTCCAGAGGGGTTGTAACAAAATAGCTCCTTAAGAAACATCTTGGTACCAGCACACACCCCACAAACAACATACATACCAATCCAGGTTCAGGACCAGGTCTAAATTGACAGCATGACAGATAGTAATGGAACCCCCCCTCTGTGAGGTAAGGGGTGATAACTGGCTAATGTCAGGAGTGATGTGTAATTTGTTTGTACCTGTGTATACAAGTATACCCCCAAAAGGTGGTCATCAACTGACCATGGTGGGGGCACTATGTTCCAGAGCGTTTAGTTGGGTGTTAGCCCATTGTCTTGGGGTTCATAAGGTGTAGTGGTGCAGCGGTCAATATGTTTGCTGACAACTATTATTGTATGTCTCTTGGCAATAAACATACTCAGGTGCTTTCGATCCTTGTCTGATTTGTGGTCTCTGGGGCCTCTCTCAGAGTCTGTCATGGTAACTCATTGCACATGGCTAGCATGTTAGACAGGGGAGTGCAGGTACACATGTACACACGCAGCCGGAAGTTTATCATCATTGACGGAGTAGAGGAACTCATTGGGTTGACACAGCCTTACTGATGACAGCATTCAGTCATATTTGAAATAGCATGTGCATCATGCACTGGGATTACCTGTGGTGGAGGTGGAGGTCTGCCCTTAGGAACTGGGGAAGGAGTGGACTTTGTCTCTGCTACCTGTGACAAAAATAAAGTTGGGTTATGCCTTTGTATTGAAGTGATTACAGGGCTGAGCTGCTGTGGGGGTTGTCCCCCATATTTATAAAGACATTGTCAGAGACAAAAAGACAGTGGGTAAGCTGATAGTCCTAACGTCTTTCCCCTATACACAGAGCAAATATAAACAGAGAGACATACAGATCTTGATTCTGGAAAGCACTCACGCACATGCTTAACATTATGCACAGGATGTAAATTCATCTGTATTCAGAACAGGGTCTTCAACTGGGCTACTCAGCTGCATAAAGTCAGACACATGCTTGGGGCAAAGACTGAGGAAAGAATCTCTATTCTGAATAGCAGTTAAGCACATGCTGAAGTTTAAGCACATACTTCAGTCCTATTGGAAGTCAGTGGGATATAGGCTTGCATTTAAATGCATGCTTGTGCTTTGCTGCATCAAATCCTTAATGGAAAATCCTCGCTCATGCTAGCAGTAGCACTGACTGGTGGTAGCATTGCTACTATGGGTTCAACCTCTCTAGTCTGGCACTCTGTGGGCCAGCGACATGCGTGGTCTGGCATGATTTGAGTTAGCCAGACGTTCACTTAGCTTAGGTGTGGCCAAGTTTCCCGCCGTCCCATAAAGTTTGTTTACAGCCACCAGTCCAGGTTCTCCGTGTTCTGTGTTATTTAGCTCTAATGTAGCCCTAAATGAGCCCAGTAAGCAGTGGAATGGTCGGTAATGCTGCTAGACAATAGTGACCTACCATGGTCTGGCAAAATAGTCAAAAACTAAAAGTTTCCCACTTTGCAGGCAGTAAAAGAAGTAACAACAACCCCCCACATGTGTGTTGGGTCGGGAGATGAGAGGGCGATAGCCTAAGTAAGGACTACTACAGGATCAAGCCCGGTGAAACCCAGACTTTCAGTGATGGTTTGGCTGGGTATTTTGCTTTTGGGGCAAATTTTCTGGCCTTTTCTCATTTATACCAACGGTGTCTTTGTACCAGCGTGACATGGCCTTAGTGTAAATGCGAAGCAGGCTCACTGTCTTTAAAACTGTTTCCTCCTTAATTTTTATTTATAAATTATCAATGACCTACTCTCCTGGTACTGCCCTTTCCGTAAGTCTAAGGCAGGGGTCTCCAACCTTTTTAAGCACAAGATCACTTTTTCCATTTAAGTGCAATGTAAGATCTATCTCAGACCTAAATCCCCTTGCCCTGGTCTAAGGCAATTTTAGTGACAACCCTCCAGACATAGGATCACTGCAAAAATGGGACATAGGCTATTTATTGTTTGTATCACTAGCACTCCCCGTCACGGATCAGGGCCCCATTGTGAAAGGTGCTTCACCGTCACAGACAGAACAATCTCACCAGCTTCTTAGTTTTAACCCTAAAACTGGAAACTTGGCTGGCTGGTGTCCACTGCATCCAGATCCCATCCCACGGGTATCTTGGTGAGATAAGACACATGAGAAAAGAGAAAAGTTGATGAGAGTCTACTTACGGACTTGCCCGGGGCGGGAGGAAAGGCGGGTTTGGCGGTAGGAACTGGAGGTGGTGGAATGCTGGGCTTTACAATCGGCTGAAAAAGGAGAAAATAATCAGTATGTTACCGGGAGAGAGTTTCTGTGTGTGCGAGAGAAAGAGGGGCATGTGAAGACTGTTGCCCCTGATTCAGAATTGTCCCAGCCTTCGGTGCTGAAGTCAATGGGAGTTTTGTCATGGATTTCAGTGGAAGCAGGATTCCACTTTAATTCCACTTATCAGGTCCTTACCGTTTTTACATTTTGGTAGAGGGCTGGCCTGCCATTGGATCTCTCCTCTGGGATGTTCTAGGGAGTAATAATAAATTAAAATGTGAGTGTTGCAGACCTAAAAGGCAGCTTCCAATTATATGGCAGACAATATGCTAAAACCAGGGCTACTCAACATGCGGCCCGCAGCCCGTTTGTTTGCAGCCTAGTGATGCAGTTTGGGTTTATGATGCGGTTTGGGTTGATATATGTTTTAGTAGTTAAAATCATGGACTATCATCACTCATTGAAAGTGCTGTCATATGGGTGGAAATTGGGTAAATATCGCATTCTCTTAATATCAGCAGAACTGACTTAAATGGGACCTGCATGTTGTGTAGTCTCGCCTCAATCTTTGTATTCATGCCTGTCAGTGTGAAAGAATCTATTTGCATATATTTGCATATATATTTGCATGTATATGCAACTACACTTAAGTTGCGGCGCTCAGCATGTGCTGTGAGTATCGTTGTGGTTCCCGGGGTTTCCAAAGTTGAGTAACCCTGTGATAAACTATCACTAGCAAACAGCTGAATATAGCACAAATTGTCATATTCAGTCTCCAGGACAGGACTGATAAAACCTATTTGTTCCCCCAGGCTTTTACCTGAGGGGATGGTGTGGCAAATTGAAGTTGGACTTTTTGTCCTGGACTGTGGAAGGACTTTTCTATTCAATCCTTTGGAGCTAGCAATGCTGATTAGGCCTCCACTGGGGTATTGTGTCTAGTTCTGGGTGCCACATTTCAAGAAAGATGTGGAGAAATAGGAAAAGGTCCAGAGTAGAGCAACTAAAATGATTAAAGGTCTAGAAAACATGAGCTATGAGGGAAGACTGAAAGAACTGGGTTTGTTTAGTTTGGAAAAGAGAAGACTGAGAGGAGACATGATAGGAGCTTTCAGGTACCTAACAGGGTGCTGCAAGGAAGGGAGACAAATTATTCTCCTTAACCTCTGAGGCTAGGACAAGAAGCAATGGGCTTAAATTGCAGCAAGGGAGGTTTAAGTTGGGCATTAGGAAATACTTCTTAACTGCTAGGGTGGTTAAATACTGGAATAAATTGCCCAGAGAGGTTGTGGAATCTCTATCACTGGAGATATTTAAGAGCAGGTTGGATAAACTTCTGTCAGGGATAATCTAGATGGTGCTTGGTCCTGTCGTGAGGGGAGGGGACTGGACTTGAAGACCTCTCAAGGTCCCTTCCAGTTCTAGTGTTCTATGAGTCTATGATTTAACCATTTGCGTTTTAATTGCTTTATAACTGATGAATATGCACCTGAAGATGGGAGAAGTGTGTTTTATAAATGCAAGGTAAATCCAATCCAATAAGCATTCTCTTCTTGCAGCCTTAAACATTCTGTGAACTCTAACCATTATAGTGCCAAGTTTATTTTGCTCTGGCTCAGAGGTTGCTACTAGAGATGTACCTGAAACACAGATATTTGGGTTGGGGAGAGTGGGGGCAAATTTCTAAAAGCTTCAGGGATTGTTTAAATCTAGGCCATTTTCCTGGGCCCATTTCTGATCACAACAGGACTAGTCCTGAAGGACACCTCACCGATGGTCTGATGATGCATGCCCATGAGTAGATGATGGGGGCACTCAGAATTTTGTGGAATCAGACTCAATGCTCATCTTTCTCAATATTTACAAAAGTCTTGTTTAAATGGTCTGCCTTTGCATATTCAATCTATCTAAAGGACTTGCCTAGGACACAAAGGGAAATCTTTCCATTGTGTCAAGCTTTTTAAGATGTACCACAGATGCAGGTCCAAACACAAGGTTTGTCAAATTTCTGCATTTTATCTCTCTTCTGTAAGGTTTATTATGAAGCAATCCTATTGCAGGTTCATCCTATTTTTCTGGCTCATCTTGATTCAGTCTTTCAATATTCACTCAGTTATGTCAAGGGTGATGACTGTACTTGCTTTGGGGACTCTGTCTCTTTTTTCTGTTTGGTTTTATGAGAAGCAATCCCATTCCAGGCACATTCCATTTTCCTGGCACAACCAAACTCTTACGTTGCTTTAAGAGGAAGCTGTGTACCAAATTTGGTGGTCCTAGTTCTTACCATTTTGGAGGAGTTCTTGATCAAACATACAGACAAATAGACAAACTCTCTAAAATACATAGTAGATTATGGATCAGTAGCATATTGAAATATGTGAAAATGATGTTATGCTCCACTTAGCATTAATGGGAGTTGGACACCTATCATCAAGGAGCAAAAAAATCTCCTAAATCTATTTAAGTATATTGGAGCTAAGCAAAACTAAGAGCAATTTTTGCACAAGGAGTATTTTGTTTGTTTCGAGTGATTTCACGCCCATTTAATTAAACGTGTATCTATTTTTGCATCAAAATTTCAAGATTTCATTGATAGATTCTGAATTTGGAAAGGATCTGTTTTTCTGTGAAAGCCTGGCAAACTCTCCTGAGAAAGGGGGGTTCCATTCTTTAGCAAAATGAGAGAAACACTAAACGGCTGAGAGCATTTTCACCTTTTCTTGGGCATGTATCACCTACTTCTGTTTTTACATCCACTGCTGCTAACAATAAAAGGCCAAATAGGAGTTCACAATTTTGCACTGTTGGGCAGCTATTGAATTATTGTCTGTCAGTTGCAAGTAAGCCCTTAAGGCATGTGCTTAACTTTGAGCATATGAATAGTCTCCTTGAATAAGCAAATAATGAAATGATTGGCTAAATAAGTACTTGAGTGCTTTGCTAGACCGGGATTGATAATCCCTGGATGAGTTGCCAGTGTCTATTTTGCAAGAAATGTGTTTGTTTGGATATGAATATATTCTACATAGCAAGTGTGGACTTCATTCTTCCTCTTTCTAATCATCTATGGGTGTATCTGCATTAGGGAGTTATTTCTAATGTAACCCACACACCAAGGTTTTGCAAATGAAGCATATATTAGCATATTGCCATGCTTCATTTGCATAATTTATTCAAGCCATTTTTGCATAAGGGGTTTTTGCACGAAAACAAGCCATGTGGACAGGGTTTTTTTGCACAAACCCCCCCATTTTGTGCAAGATCCTTTCTGCCTTTCCCAGAAAAAAAACGGGCAGGGGGGTTTGCGCAAAAAACCTCTGTCCACATGGCTTGTTTTTGCACAAAAATGGCTTGAATTAATTATACAAATGAAGCACAGCAATATGCTAATCTGTGCTTCATTTGCATAGACACTGCCGGCAAAGCCACTTTTGAAAGTGAAAGTAGTCAAGACGCATTTTTTCGGCAAGCTCCTCCCCTTTTCGAAAAGTTGCTTTTCCTCAAAAAAAAAAAAAAAAGAGGTTTATGCGGCTTTTCAAGAAAGGGGAAGTTTGCCCAAAAAAAGGTGTCTTGACTACTTTCACTTTTGAAAACTCTGCTTTTGAAAGTGAAATCAGAAGAAGGTATGCAAATTCCTAAGGAATTTGCATATCCTCTTTCAAATCTTGCCCGTAGTCTAGCTGAGCCCTTAGACCGCTTACCGTGAGAGATAAGAGAGCACTACCGCATAAGCTGAAAACCAGCTGGCTTTATAGCTCAAGTAGTCGAAGCTCTTACCCTAAGTTCCAGAGGTCCTATCTTCAAATCTGCTTGATTGCAGTTGTACTAAATAAGTTATTTCAAAATAATAACTCCGAAAGTAACAATTTTAAAATAGCGCTATTCCTCTTCACAAGTAGGAGTTATTATTTTGAAATAACACGCCCTTTATTTCAAAATAACAGGCTTGGTAGTGTGGACCCTTGCCTTGTTATTTCAAAATAACTCCCTAGAGTAGCCATGCTCTCTGTTAGCCCTAAAAGAACATACTGAGGCCCCTAATCCAATGTCTACTGACTTGCAATGGATTTGGGATCAGCCCCCAATTGTGGCCGACCACAGCAGCTCTTTGAATACTGTGTTCAGCCTTATCAAAACTGAAATTGATTTTAAAGAAGAAAACGTTTTCCAGATGTACGTACAACACAGACTTGCGGCTTGCTTGCCTGCGGCGGAGGGTTGGGAAGAAGGAATCCTGTGTCGTTGATCTGGAAATGGGAAACAAGATGAAACTTGATGTGAGCCCAAGTTTAAAATCTTTGTCTTGTTTCTTGGCTTTGCTTGTAACACCCACTCCAGACTGACAAAATACAGAAATTAGACTTGAAGCCAACTGATCTGCCCACTAATCCATGCTTCACCCTATCAGAGCTAGGAGAGGAACCCAAGAGGCACAGTAGTCTAATCACTAGGCTACGTCTACACTGCACACTTATTTCAGAATAAGCTATTCCGGAATAGTTATTCCAAAATAGCTTTTTTTGAAAATGCATGTCTACACTGCAGGGAAGCCTCAAAATTAGTCCAAGGCAGGCTTCCCTAATGTACATGTGCTATCTCGATTTAGAGCCCCAGGAGGAATAACTTAGAATGGCCCTGGGTGAGGGGCTATTTCGAAATAGCAGAAGTGGAACATCTACACACACCTTATTTTGAAATAGTTCTTTCAGAAGAGGCATTATTCCTCATAGAATGAGGTTTACAGAAGTTGGAATATGCCATCCATTATTTCAAAATTATTTTGAAATAATGGAATGGCCGTGTAGACATTAACATGGTTATTTCAGAATAACTTTACTGTGTAGACACACCCTAGATCAGTGGTTCTCAACTCATTTCAGTCCAAGGATCACCAGGCCAATCAAAAAATTTTCGTGGACCACCTCCTTTTTGAGACTGCGTGTGCTGACAGATTTGGGCAACTCCCAGTCACGCTGGCCCAAAATTTCTCTATAGAAGTCACGCCGTATGACTTTGGACAATGTTCCTGTGGACCACCGAAAAAGTCACCATGGTCCATCAGTGGTCCATGGTCCACCAGTTGAGAGCCACAGCCCTAAATGATTCTGTGGACTTGGGGTCTTTATTAAGTAAATGCAGGTAAGTTTTGATATTGCAGCCACTCTCTTAGAATGATGGGAGAATATATGTGTTGCACCAAACAGTCTTTAACTCAGTCAGATGGCCAGAGACTTACCTCCTTTCTAGGTTGCCTGGGTGCACCGTTCTGTCTTCTCTTCTGGTCATGCCCAGAGAAGCCTAGATTTGTCTCTCCGGATACGCTTCTGTTCTGGCTACTACAAAGATATTCCATATAACGTACAATTAGCACATGTTATCTCGACTGTCTTAAAACCGGCAATATTCCCTGGAAATCTTTCCACGTGCGGAGTTTAATAGCAGACTTGCGATTGTTTCATTAGCACTTAAAGAAAATAAACTGCTCTGTAAGAGCAATGCCTAGACATTAACTAGTTATGGGAGGGGGGGACTCCATGTCAATTTCGGGGCTCAGGGCTGACATCTCACATTCTTCTCGCACAGTTCATAGAAGCCGGTGGGAGCTAGGAGCCAACCTCCTATTGGAAAACTTCAGCCTTTATTCCTTTATTCCAAACGTAAAAACATTGTACCTGTGACTTTGCTTCTTCTTCGTGTTTCGGTAATAGATGAATAAAGCCACAACGATCACAATGGCCGCTAGGGCAGCTAGCACACCAGCAATGATGGCAAAATCTGCAGGGAAGATATATTGCAACACGTGAGTGTTTCTCAACACTGAGCTTCGGAGGGGTAGCCGACTTAGGGTGTGTCTAGACTACCTAGTTTTGTCGACAAAAGTGGACTTTTGTCGACAAAACTATACCAGCGTCTACACTACCGCTGAGTTCTGTTGACATAACGTCGACAGAACTCAGCAGTTTTGTCGACGCTGGTATACCTCATTTTACGAGGCATAACACCTTCTGTCGACAGAACTCTGTCGACAGAAGGTGTTATTGCCTGTAACATTGCGTCCAGACTACGGAGTTCTGTCGACAAAGCAGCTTGCTTTGTCGACAGAACTCAATGTGTCTGGACGCTCTTTGTCGACGGAAGTTTTGTCGACAGTATCTGTCGACAAAACTTCTGTCGACAAAACGCAGTAGTCTAGACGTACCCTTAGTCTATAACTGGAAAAACTTTAAAAAACCCAATAGTCTAGTAGCACCTTAAAGATTAACAAAGCATGTAGATGGTATCATGAGCTTCCGTGGGCACAACGCACTTCTTCAGATAATGGAGTATTAGACGTCCAGATCCAAGAATTAAAAAAAAACACACCGAGGCCTTGTCTATGTCACTGCTGCCATAATCGATCTTCCAGAGTTCGATTTAGCAAGTCTAGTTGAGACTCGCTAAATCAAACTCAGAGGGTGCCTCTGTGGGTGTCCGGTACTCCTCCTTTTGCCAGGAGTAAGGGAAGCCGACAGGAGCATTGTTCCCATCAGCCTCCCACTATGGAGGCGCCACCAAGCTCAGCTTAAGGGAAGCTAACTCCTGCTGGAGTTGCGTACGTTAAGCTGAGTTGCCGGGTCTAGTGTAGACCAGGCCCGAGAGGTAGCAGAGGCTTGTAGACAGAGCCTCATAATTTCCCTCTGGTAAGGAGTTTCTTAAAGCTGAATTGTGTCCCAGTCATAAGTGGCCACATGGGGGAGAAAGACTCCACTCCATTCTTCTGTGTAATGCCATGTCTCCCTGAATCCTGGGTCTGTGCGTGTAAGGGGAGAACACGAGTTGCATGTCTCGTTGATAATCACAAGGGATATGGGCAGAAAGCTGAGGGAAGTACGTCAGGGCATTGTGTCAGCTAGTGGATTGCCAGGCGGAGGGGAATGTTGTATTGTATAATGGGCTGATGCAGTCTATTTCTCCCAACCGATGAAAGTTGGAGGTCCAGAGAAATAGTGATTTGGAGCCTTTCCTCAGTGCATTTCCTCAGATTGTCAGTACTCAGAGTAGAGCCTTCAAGCTCAATCTAGCACAGAATGAACTCAACACGTTCCCCATTCAATAACAAAAGTTGAGGAGGGGGGCAGGCGAGGGCCTTACTGATAAAATTCAACATTGTGGGTGCTTTTTCTGTCTTAAAAGCACATACTCACTAATCCTCACAGCACCCGGGTGGGACTCTGGACCAAATTCAGAATTGGCGTAGGAGGTTTTCTTCTAACCCACCACAGTGGGTTGGCAGCTGCTTACATTAGTTCAGAATGTGACCCCCCTCTGGATTTAATTTAGCTTTTTATTCTGTTGTAGATACTGGAAGGCAGGAGTGAAACCGGGGCTTTGTCTTTACTGCTAAAAAAGTATGTTTCTACCCCAGGGTAACTAACATGTTGGCTATCTGTGCTAAAGTGCTAATGGAGTTAACATACTGTAGTTTTGCTGTGAGGTAAAATTAGGGGAGTTTTACCATTGGGAAGTAGTTTAGAGTTGTCTTTCCCTGGGTATTTTGTGTTAAAAACTACCAGGATTTTACAGGTGTAAAAAACCACGTTTTTAAGCAATGAAGACAAAGCTTCTTTTCACCCCTCCCTGCCCCCTATCTTCCCCCTCGCTAATGGAGTTAACATACTGTAGTTTTGCTGTGAGGTAAAATTAGGGGAGTTTTACCATTGGGAAGTAGTTTAGAGTTGTCTTTCCCTGGGTATTTTGTGTTAAAAACTACCAGGATTTTACAGGTGTAAAAAACCACGTTTTTAAGCAATGAAGACAAAGCTTCTTTTCACCCCTCCCTGCCCCCTATCTTCCCCCTCCCCCCCGCAATGTGTCAATTCTTTAGGACTATCAGCAGTAACAGCTTTGTTTTTAATCACTCAAGTAGCTATGACAGACCTGCAGAGAGCAGATATGTAGGAAAAGAAGATGCTTTCTTTACTTAGGGCACATCTTTACTCTGCTCCGGAGTTCTATTTAGCGAGTCTGGTTAAGACTCACTAAATCAAACTCAGAGGGTGCCCCTGCTGGCGTCTGGGACTCCTGTTCTTGCCAGAAGTAAGAGAAGCCAATGGGAGCATTTGCTTCTGTCAGCCTCCTGCTCTGGGGACACTACCAAGCTCGGTTTACCATAAGCCGACTCCAGCTGTGTATTCTACAGAGTTGGAGTTGCCTGCCTTAAGCCAAACTGCTGGGTCTAGTGTTGACCTGACCTTAGGCCTGGTCTGCATTAGGCACTCAGGCTGGTAGAACCGCATTGCTCAGGGATATGAAAATCCACAGCCCTGATTGCAGTGGTTAAACTGACCAAACTGGTGTCAGCAGTGCTAAATTCTCCCCTCAATCTAGCTACTCTCTCGTGGGGAGGTCGATTGCTCATGCTGATGGGACAGCCCACTTCCTCCCTCTCCCCCGCCAGCTAAAGTGCTGCACCTGCGCCTGCGCCGCTGCAGTACTTTAAGGGCAGATAAGCCCTCAGGGCCATTGCCTCAGCTGGGGCAAATCAGTGTTGCTGATGTCAGTGGAGCCATGCGGCTCACCCCAGCTCTGGCTGGCCCACGGTTTATATTCTGACCAGTATCCCACCTTCTCATGCGCCTCACAACCAACTCACGTGTAACGGTTGTCGCGCTGTCACAGTCGGGTGGCGCCCATCCTTCCTCACACTGGCATTGCAGTTCATGGTCGCACACCTAAGAAACCAGGGGTCTGCGCTCAGGTTTGAAATTCGGGCCGAGAGGGTGAAGAAGCCATCTTAATGCCCAATGGGGTCAAGAGACTTGCCAAGCCCCTGGGCAAAGTAGGAGGGGAGGGCACTGCGCTCCTGGAAGGGGCGGGGCTTCACACAGAAGGGGCGGGCCTTCACATGAAAGGGGTGGGGCTGGAGCAAGCCCTCAGCACTGCCTGGTGCTTGTCACACCACAATCCTCCCCTCTCCAGGCAGCTCTCAGGACTGTGCCCAGTGCAGCACCCCAATGGAGATTTAAAGGGCCAGGGTAGCGGGCGGGGAGGGCTGAATTACCGGGCCCCAGGAAGTTGTCCCCCTTTGCCTGCCTCCCATCACCAAGCCTGTTAATACCATTGGCTAATATTAATCCAGACTTATACTAGTGTGAGAACTGTATTTGGACCATTATACATAAGTATTTGGGGCCTGATTGAAAACCCATTAAACTCGGTGGGAATCTTTCTGGATGATGCTTACTGGGTACCGATTAACCGGGAGACAGGAGCAGAAGCTGGCCACTCTGTGCATTAAGGGGTGGGAGCAGAAGCCAGTCCCCCACTGCTGAGCTGCTGGCCTCTGCTGCCAGACCCCTGCATGCCAGGGAGGGGAGGAGTGGGTTCCCACTTAAATTGATTAGCTGGTTAAACTTAAGGCTTAACCGGTTAACTGATTAAGCAACTTCCCTACTTCAGACCCGTGGTCCCAGGGTCCGTTGCTGTGCAGCACGGCTTTAGCTGTCTGTCCTAGACTCTAGAAAGTATTACACCGGCCTGGTTTGGCACATTCCCTGAAACCATGCACCTCTCCTCCCTGAGACCCCAGACTCTTGGTTGAAAACCACCATGCTGTGCAAAGTTAGTGATGGACTATTGGGTTGTGTGTGTTCATGTGAAACCAAAGGAAGTTTCAGAGTTCTTTTGTCTGGATTCTTTCACTTGATCACCCAACCTCCTGGACTTAAAAAAAAAAAAAAAAAACCCACGACTCATGCTGTAACATCTAAACTAGGCTGCGGTTCACACACAAGAGCTTCCTTGGCACCAGGAACTCAAATCTTACAGCATGTCCTTTGCACTTGGTGGAACAGTTTGTCGACTTGTAGGCGCTCTCGATCTCAACACATTGTCCTCGGCTACACACCTGAAATTCAAAGTGCACAAGTGACTACCAAGAAGGGATTCTTAGAGCTGGTAAAGTGCTTCACAACGTCATAACTGTGGCTATGTCTACACTGCACTCTAAAATCGAAATAAGATACACGGTTTGCGTTACGCAAATTGCATATCTTATTTCGCTTTTATTTCAAAATAGGCTATTTTGAAAGTTGGCACGTCTACATGGCACCGAGTGCTATTTCGAGACCTCCCTTATGCCTCATGAAACAAGGTTTACAAGGATGGCAAAATAAGATCTCCCTTATGCCTCATGGAACAAGGTTTACAAGGATGGCAAAATATCATGTCCGTTATTTCGAAATGGCAGACACATTCCTTAGACACAGGGTAGCTATTTCGAGATACCTCTGGGAGGGGGGGTGTTGCACATAGGCATCCTGGGGTCGGGGAGGGATTTGGATAGTGTGGAGACCTGAGTATATGGGAGTATGCTGCACCAGTAACAGGCCAAAAGGGCCATAGAGAAGTCCTCCAGGAGGCCAAAAGGGCCATAGAGAAGTCCTCCAGGAGGCCAAAAGGGCCATAGAGAAGTCTTCCAGGAGGCTAGAGTGGCTGTGGAGGAACAAGCCAATCAAGAGAACTCTCCCAGGAGGCTAGAGTGGCTGTGGAGGAACAAGCCAATCAAGAGCCAGGAGGGACTATATCAGAAGCTGCAGGACTAGAGGCAGTTTAGTTGCAGTCCAGACCTGGAAGGGAGAAGGTCGAGGGGGCTGGCTGGCAGAACCAAGGGTAGCTCAGAGTGGGGAGCTGTGTAGGACACTGTCTTTAGGAGAAGAATCCCTGGAAGCACCACTCTCCTACCAAGTGGGGAAACAGACTGAAAGACTGGACTCAGAGAGACACTCTACAGAGGGCACGGGGATGGGCCCTTGGGAGAGGCAGAGCCCAGAAGGGGTGGCGCATGAGGCTGTGCGACTCAGCCAGAGGGCTGAGTAGGCACCACGCTTTTAAAACTGAGGCAGTGCAGGAACCAAACGGGGGACGCGTCGGTGACCCCGTTACACATACTCATGTGCTTTAGACACTTCAGACTCCACATGCCTGATGCTCCATTAGCAATTTTATAGCAGGGCAGACTGCAAAATGCAGGCCAATCGGAAAGTAGCACATTACGCTCAGCATAGGAATAAGAGACAGAAAAGAGTATGAGGTGGTAGGAAACCAAAACTGACACAGTTTAGAGTCACCTTGACTCTAACTTTTCAAAGCCCTCCTTGTCTTGCTGGAGCGTGGTGGTATAAACAAGAAACAGCTAACAAATGGCACTGCAGAGAAATGACTGGGGAATAAAAACTTCTTCCACTAACCATTTCATCGCCACATTTCGTTCCTGTCGCCACCATGCCTGTGTCTTCGTTGTTGTTGTTGTTTGGAAAACTGCCTTTGCAGGAGTCAAAGGACAGTAGGTTTCCATCTGTAGGCATGCGTGAGCCACCGGTACAGAATAACTTCCCGCACTTTATATCTCTGGGAGGAAAACGAGACCTTAACTTCTAGAACAGCAGTTTTCAAACTAAGACCTCCAAGGGCTCTGAGAGTCATGTCTGGGACCACTGGTCCCACCGATGAACTCCTCTTCCTCCCTCCCAGTACCTCCTGCATGCTGCAGGACAGCATGAGGTG